GTGGGGAAATTCTGGGAGTTGAAGTCCACTCATCTTAAAGTGGCCAAGTTTGGACATCACTGGTTAAGCACTTCAGCAGGACAGCTTCCTCCTTTAATGTCTCAATGACAGTTGTCCAACTGCATCACCAACTCAAAAACAGCTTTAGTAGAAATAAGAATAAAGCGTGTGTATGTTTTAAATCTTATTATCCTCAGATGGTTGAAACTTATCTCTTGCTGGCATTTTGAAACTAAATCCAGTTGGCTACAGTACTGGAGCAGGCAGAATAAACTGGATAGGTGGGCTTGTTATTCATCTGGACAAAGCCAGACCCACAACTCTTGTAGAGGACAATATTGCTCAGTGGATGAAGAAAATCACTGAGTCACCCCAGTGGAACTTTTCTTTTGGAACTTTTTTTGGGAGAAAAAAAGCAGTCGCTCTGAAGAGAACACCTACCATTCAAAATCAATGATAACATGATGATCAGACCTAAATATCATATCGCTCATGCCGCTGGGGACTCTGCTTATCCTGATGCAAAGCCCTGCAGAAGGAGCCGGGTCCTGATGGCCTTTCTGAAGGTTGGAAGGACCATTTTTAATTTATCTTATCTTTCAGATAAATGGGATACGGAAAGGAAAAACAGAAACAGGAAAAGAAAGGGCAAAGTATTAAAGTGCTTGAACTCATTCTGAGTATTTTGGTGGAGAAATACTCCGTGCTTTTGTCTGGTACCAGCTGTTTCTCCCCGCATAGTCCAAGTTCATAAACCTTAATGAGGGAGCTGCTGGTAGGGAAATTGTGAAGAGGGCTTTCTGGGTGAGCTGAGTGCTGTACTGTAGTGGTAAGTGGGTGCCTGTGTGAGTGTGGGTTACTTATGTATCATGGCCATTTTGCTATTGGACAAGTCAACTGACTGCCAAACACTTTGAGCTCAGTTTATTTGTGGAAAATACAGTAGGTAAATCCTATTGAATTTGAATATTGAGTATTGAAGTCCACTCATCTTAAAGTGGCCAAGTTTGGACAACACTGAGGTAAATAAACTATGATTAACAGGTGGTTGCTACTAACTTTCTCAACTTGTGCAGAGAAAATCATTGATCGCTTTGGAAAAAGAAGATGAAGAGGAACGAAACAAAACCATAGAGAGCTTGAAGACAGCACTAAGGACCAAACCTATGAGGCAAGTTACTTTTTGGTTTGTTTGTTTGTTTGTTTAATTTATTTGGCCGCCCATCTCACAGGAAGTGACTCTGGGTGGTGTACAACAGTTGAGCAATTTGGTTGCTGTTGTTGCTAGATTACTAAATTCTTTGCCTTTTCTTTTGTTCTTTAGCATAAGGATTCTTAAAATAATCTCCTCATGGTAATACCAAATTAGCTCTAATTTGCTGAGATTTGTTAATTTAATGCCTTCTTACCACCTAGATGTTCAGAATCACAAGTCCCATCTTCCCAATAAAAGTTCCCTCATCCCAGGATTAGGGAAGTTGCAGTCAATCACATTTCAATGGTGTCATTTTCTTTATTCTGCATTACTTATTTATTTTTATTTATTTATTAATCAAATTTATATGGCCGCCCATCTCACAAAAAGTGACTCTGGGTGGCGTACAATAGTCCAATAAAACATTTTGGGAACCACACTGCTTTGCTAGTGAATGCTGCACTGCCAGTGATAGGGGTGCCTTGAATTTAGAAAGTACTATTAAAGTTTAAAATATTTCTTTATATAGCATTAAATGTTGTTTTAAAGAATGGGGGTTCAAATCCTATCCAAAGACAGATAGTGAAGGTTCATAGTGAATTTCTAGTG